TTGGAGGCAGTTTGGTCGAGGGGTTGGCGGGGAGTGCGATTTAAAGGGTCAAAGGTTGCCTCTGAAACTTTCAACTTTGTTTTAAGTTGTTTTATTTCAAAAGCATCTTTAAAATAGATTTAAATTCGTTCAGCAAAACCAAATTCATGTTTAGCGAAGGCGGATGAAATATCCCACATAAAAATAATCTATTACAATTTCAGCTTACAGATTAAACGCTGTTAAATATGTGCATGACAAAGAGTTCAAAAATATTTTTTCAATATGCGTCCTAATACACACTTTATAAATAAAGTCCCTGCTATCAAGACTGAACTTTTAATGGAGTTATTCATACCAAAGTTTTTAAAATTAATTACAATTACTTTGCGCCACATAATTTTACCGTTAAAAAAGAAACCTCAAAAATCTGCAAAATTCATTGATACACGTGGTATATTAAGATACTCTTTGTAATAAAATTTGTTTAAGATATTTTTTTTTTATATACATTTAAGTGCGGTAACTCAGATCAGCAGCATACAATGGGTATGGATTTCCCTTTGTGCCTGCCCAGCTCCACTAATTTGGCATTCATTGGCCTCAGTTCTCTCGTTTCCCTAGCCAAATCTATTTAGCAGCATTAGCCATTGTCTTTGGACGTAATGCGATATCACAGCGAGAGCCATCCATTCAAGACACGCGTTTGTCAAGCCATTGCCATTCATTCCCCCACTGACTCGCTCACTCATTCATTCACTCATTCATCCATGGCTCCATTCATTCGTCTATAGCCCGGAGCTAGGATCTGGAGAGCTACGAAGTCCGAGGCTCATTAATGCACTTTGCATAATCGCAAAATCATTCAGACGACAGACAATGGCGATGCGATGTGTTTTTGCGGGGGCGTTGGTGTCAAGTGGAGTAAGAGCTGGAATTGAAATGTTTTCGGATAATTTAAATGACTCGAATTATGTAAATTGTCGCCCCAGACAATGCACTTGGCGGGGGAATTGGGAATGGGGAATGCGGGGGCAACTGAAAGCCAGACGATATCGTGCGGCCCGCACTAGATTCACTTACAAATTTAATTAAGCTCAATTGAAAGTAACACCACGAACGGCGGCTGGCATCGTTCTGAGATCTGAGATCCATGTGGCGACAATCCAAAACTTTGTTTTGACAATTGATTCAATGAAAAATTTAGTGCACTGCCAGTTGGATATTCTCTGGATGCTTGGTCCGTAGGTCCACTGTCCGTTGTCCGTTGTCCAATTGTCCGTTGTCCGTTGTCCGCCCACGCGAACCGTGGACAAATGGACAGCTTCAATATGTCATGGGGCTGACTTTTGTCTCGATTGCCTTTGCACTTTCATCGCGGCATGTCGCGTGTACTTGTCCCACTTACTATACTCGTACGTTCCTGGCATAATTTCCCTGTATCTCTCGACGGCAGTATCTCTATTTGTATCTGTATCTGTATCTCTCCGTGCTGATGTCTGCATTTACATAATTGAATTTGTTTGCTTGATTGTCGAGCTGTCGATGGTTCGTTCGTTGCGGGAGGCATCATCAAATTGACAATTGCTAGTTCCGGTCGTTTGCAGTTTGAAGTGCCATCGATGCCGGCCTGCAGAAACACGGACTCGCTACTCGGGAGATATACACAGATACGAAAATCTGGAAAGGGCCCTCATCCGCCGGCGCAAAAATCAACGCAATTTGTCAATAAAAATGTAACTCGAACAGATTGTGAAGTGTGCGAATGTGCTCGAAACAATCGGCGGGCATAAATTATGGTCCATATACGCTATATGGATGTGGTGCTGCTGCTGCTGCTGCTGCTGGTGCTGGATCTCTGCTCGGTGGTGCCCTGGTCGGTGGTGCGATGTGGTGGCTTCTGCGGTTGCCTCTGGTTTCTGTTATGCGGTCGGTGGTGGCCTCCATCTGCGGGCTTGTCTGCGATTCCGATTTCGGGATGCTTGACTTTAATGCGTATAATGATTTCCAATGCAGATTAAATGATCAGATTATGGGGCACTCGAGCTGCTCGAGAGATCTCTGGAGTGGAGTGTGCCTGCGGGAACGGTTTCGGTTTTGGTCCACCCCAAATCGGGTTGATTGCGACTCATAAATTTCCCATAATTTGCCATTACTAATTTAGGCCCATTTCACTTTGCTTAAGCAATTCAATTATTTAAAACTACCTCGTTCTCTCGTTGATAAAATGCCGCAAACGAAAAGCAATTTAATTTTGAATTAGTTGCTAAGACAGTCTACTTATGTGCCAATATAAAACTTTACATATGTGCACATACGCTTATGTAGAACCAATCAAATTTAATGCATTTAACTGCAATCAAAAATGGCTGTTCTTTGCAATTCGAACTTGCACACATTTAACATCTCCCAAGCAAAAACCTTTCAACAGAATTTATATATACGCTGTCAATGCAGGCCGGCCTGCCACGCCCATACCCACGCCCACTGTCAGTTTTGCCAGCCAAAGCGAAAAATACATTTAAATGAAAATGCACAGGGGAAAATTTAAATCTGATTGTCTGACTAGATTCATTTTAGTTTCACTTGAAATCCTGCAAACGTAAATTCTTAAGTTTTTATTAAACAGAAATCTTAAAGATTGGTTTCAATTAAAAATGGTTGGTTAAAAATTGAATAGAATAAAGTCGGTTAACATAACTTGAGAACTTAAATAAATGCTTCTGCTTTATAGCTTCAAATATTATATTCTTCGTAAAAAATTATGTATCTGATACTTAATGATATTTATTTATGCATATTTTGTAATTTCTTTTGCAGAAATATTCCCAGTGTGACTTTGGGGGAGTGAATGTGTCCGGCATTGAAAAGTGAAACATTAAGAAAGTTTCGTACTGCAGATGTAGCTGCAATAGAATTTATATTGAAAACTAAGGAAAATGTTGCAGTCGGGAAAGAACAAGACACTTTACAACAATTGCAATTGTCTGTGGCCAAAACTGTGCGCATGTCAACAAATTTACCAAAAATTTCCCCACCTCCCCCTTTTGTTGTGCGTGTGTGTGCCATATTATAAAAGTCACAATAATAATTTCTTAAAATCTTTGCATATTTTTGGCTGCAACCGAAGACAATGATGATGTTGCTGTTGTGGCATGCATTTTATTTTATGCTTCCTTCCGTTGCAAACCCCTTTTACAATGTTCGTATATATCTGAATATATATATTCTCAAGATTCAACCCACACAATGAGATGAGAGAAAGACACACATGGATGGATTTTTCGGTGGGGTTGTTTATATATCCGCACTTAATGCTTAATTCAGTTACAGCTGCTGCTCTGCTTTGACATTGTTGTTGTTCTGCTTGGCAGAGTGACATTGTTCCTGCTGTTGCTGTTGTTGTTGTTGTAGTTGCTATTGTTGTTGTTGTTGTTACTATACCATTGACAATGACATCATCATTATGGCGTACTCAGCTTCCAGTTTCAACAGCAGCAACTACAGCAGCAACATCTACAAGAGCAGCAACATCGACATCAGCAACTTCCTTGTTTGCCAACGTCTTCTTATTTTCTGGGTCCTCATCTTCCTCCTTGGACCCCTTGGTATAAAACCCATTCTTCCTCTTCGGCGCTGTCACATCTTTGTTATATTTTTGCGCAAAATAAATGAAGTAAAGTAATATTATTGCACTTAGACCGCATTAAGTTGTACGTGGCAATCTGTGCTCCATTCTGCTTGCCAGCGATACGGAGCAAGTGCGCCAGGATGCCAAGGATGCCAAGGATGGGCGTCTGGGGATTGGGTTTAGTTTTCAAATTTAAGTGCCAGGGATTCGCCACGAAATTAGCCAAAGAAATGGCTAAGAGGATCTGGCAGCCCTCGCTGCCTGATGATGATAATAAAACCATAATCAAGTATGCGTACATTGCACTTAGCCGTGTCTCTTTCTCCCAATATCCCACTGTCTCTCTCTATCCCTCTGCGTTTTTCTCTCCCTTTCTCTGGCCAACTCTGGTGTCGCCAACACAGTTAACAATGGAAAATTGCTGTTGACATGATTTTGCACTTTCGCATCGACTGCATTCGGCAATTAGATTTGTCTCTGCATTCTCAGTGCATGTTGCTCTCGTTCCCCCAATGTTGCTGTTGCTGCTGCTGCTGCTGTTGTTGCTGCTGCCCCTGCGATGGTGTTGCTGTTGGATTTCGTGTTTTTGTGGTCATTCGAAAAGTGCAACGTTGCAATTCGGCTGCTGCAACGTGGCCATTGCGTAATGTGCGGCTGTCAATTTATTTGAATTATTTCCGAACCCAAGCCCCCAAAATGCCACCCTTTTCTGCGGCCACTCCTTCTCCACCCAAAAAGTCGGCAAAACGGAAAACGCTTTTAATAATCCGCTGGCACCCTGGCACCCCGGCACCCCGGAATACCCGATTCCCGATACCCGATACCCAGTTCCCAATACCCAATACCCAGTCATCCTGCCTAGGTGTCATTTATGCAACAGTTTCTGTTTTATGGCACTCGGCTCGAGACGTTTTCGGTGGGCTGGTCACTTTTGCAGGCCGTAAAACAAAAATATAATTATGACGAGGGTTTGCACTCTCAAAACGATGGACTGTGCGGGAGGGGAAGAAAGTCTTCAAGTGCGGCCTTAAGTCTTAATAAATATAATACATGTGAAGCGTCAGCCGCTGAGTCGTAAAATGGGTTAGCTGTATGGGGGATAGTACTGGGAGGGTTCTAATCGGGCAGTTGAGGCACTTAAATACCCTACAGTAAATACCCTATTGGAGACTGAAAAATACATTTTGAAACAATACTTTAAAAAGTTTGAAATCGTTTATCAGGTTTGTATTGCAATATTTTTCACAGAGCTTCCATAATATATCATTTTTTTAAAGAAATTTATACTTTTTAAATAAATCAGTGGTGAACTGTACAACAATCCCTATTGATATTTTAGAACTTAAGAAAAGTATCAAAAAACCAAGAGCAAAAAGACTAAATACTTAATTTAGTTATCTGATCAAGTGCGTTGAAATTAATATAATTTCATCGGTTTATAATACAAAATTTGTAAGCGCATATTTTTTTAACAATTTCGAAATAAATTAAAACTCCACATTTATGGTTTAGGTGTAGCGCACCCCGAACTATCGGCATTGTTATGTCCGGGGGAGCAACAAAAATCGCATAAAAATCGCAAATTGAAAGCAGTCGCAACAAAAGTGCCGCCTCGCAAGTCTTTTTCATCTCCAGTCCTCATCTTCATCCACATCCACGTCCACATCCATCTGCATCTCCACTTCCATCAGCAGTTCCATCCAGCGAGATCCATTGCCAATGGCCGATAGCCGATGGCCAGGGTTAGTGTCAGGCGCTGACAGACGGATGGACAGACCTTCGGCGAACTGGACTCTTGACCAAGTTGTTGGAGACGGAGATGGAGCTTTCGGTGGGTGGACACCACTTTAATTAGCCTGCGTTCGAAATGGCATTGAAAGTGCCGACCAGAGCACTGAGATGGATAGGATAGATGGTCAGAATCGCAGGCCAGATGCACTGTGAAAAAATTACCGTATTTATAAAGGCGGTCTAAAGTAATAGGGCGAATGCAAAATGAGGAGAGCCATTTATTTGTTTAAAAATTTAAGGAACAAGTCAGTTTTCCTGATTTAAAATTAAAAGGATAAGTATTTTCCTGAGAGATAAAAAATCAAAATGTCATGTAAGCAATAAGATTTGTTGGCCTTATTGTCAACTGACATAAGTGATCACACACAATACTTGATGTTAAACAATAAGGGATAAAACATTGTATTTAATTGAAGATTCATTTATAAATAGTGCTAACCATTTTTTAATATTTTCTTATTTACTGTAGTTAGAAAATAAATGATAAAAATAAATAAAGAATATATAATTAAATAAATCCAATTTTTTCTGAGTGCAAAAGGAGCTGGGTGGATGTGGCTATCGATGGATGAGCCACTGGATAAATGAATGAATTCCTGAGTGCTCGGCGAGCATTTGAAGCGGACCAATGATGATTGGTTCCCCGACTTCTGATTGCAGTTGGTCCCGCTTCTTGTACTTTCAGTTTTTCTTTTTTTTGGTGTTGCTGCTGCGTTTGGCGCGTAATTAATTCTTACAACAATTTTTCATTTCGGGACGCTGAATGAAACAACAGCGGCAGAGGCATTCGAAGGAGCTGCAAAAAAGAATGTGTTTGCTCAATGAAAAGTGCCAAAAGTAATTAATTTCATGCGAAATGCAACGGAGCGATGCCAGCCCCTCGATGTTGCCGCTGTGTTTTTGTCATTTGTGTTTCGTGTTGCGTGTTGGTTGCTGTGTGTGTGGTGTGTGTTGCCCATGTGGCTGTGGAATTACTCATGCCAGTCGATCTCTTTGCCATATTTCCCTGTGCTGATAATTGCTTTAATTTTCTATTAATAAGCGGCAAAGGAAGCTGCTAACAATTAGCCGCTGTGTTGCATACGACTTATGACATGGCAGTGGGTCTGGCCCGAGGATTGGGGATCTCGGAATCGGATTCGGATTCGGAATACGGGGACCAGACGGCTGTCGGAATTCAGTTGAAAATACAACGCGACGACAGCGTCAGGTTGCCAAAGTTCGCTGTTCGGCAAACATGGCGACAGTTGCCAGTTGTGGCAATTAATAATTTTTCCCGCCCTGGGCCCTGAGCATACGCCATTAATTATGCCGGCTACAGGAATTCGATGGCGGCAGTGCAACGCAACTGTCATTCTGCCACTGTTCGTTCGGTTTTCCGCTTTCAGTTCGAGATTTCCCAGAAAATAGACAATGAGTGCGGCAGTGGCGAGCTTCATTCATTTTCCAATTAATTGAGGCACGCGCGTTACTTTCACTTCCCACACTCCGCGGAATCGCTTTCGTTTTCCTGCCACATGCGGGCGGTGAAATGGGGGGCGGAGGCTGGGCGTGGCATGTGGGGCGTGCCCGGCTTAATGGCACTTGAAAATCAAATTGGTAAAAGCAATTAAACGACGCCCCAAGGACACATTACAGCAGCAACAACAAAGGCAGACAAACAACACCCACACAACAGGCATGCACACCCACACACACACACACACACATTCTCTCACAAGCAGATGAGATGATTGCCTATAAAAAAGAAATTCTAATTATAATTTAACGCAAATTCGTTGTCTGCGCCATCGACAATATCCTTTGCATCATATATATAGATTCACGAACACATTTGCACTGAGGAAAATAAGAGGTCTAAAGAAATCCTTTATTACATTTTATTTAACGACTCCTGAGTTTTACAAAATTAGATTTGATTCGTATGTTTTATTATTGTATATTAAGTTCTATGACTAACAAAAAATTTGTTTATAATTTTACAGTTTGTCAAAGATCAACAAATGATGGTTAAATAATAATTAGTTTTAAAGCAAATATTTATTACAAATTTGAATATGTTTCTTTGAAGTAGAAAATATATATTTAAAATACAAATATAGGTATTTTTCTGAAAGTGCGTGTCCTAATGGTTGACTGGTTTATTTTTGCGTTTAAGGCAATCGAATGCTTTGAGGTTTGGCCGAAATTCTGCAGCAGCCACCCCAGAGTTCGGGCTGCCTTGAGGGGTTGGGGGTGGTGGAGGGTGGGTGGCGGGTGGCGGGTGGCGAGTGGGTGGTGGCGGGGGATGAGTGCCAAGGGGGCGCCAGAGCGTCCCCTGTTGCGCAAGCACAGGCGCCTTTGTTGGCTGAGTCCTAAAACAGTCCGCCGCACAATGCGTCCGTCAATTGCAGGCGCACATCTCGTTGTCCTGCAGCTGACAGATCCTTTCCTTTCCACCAAGCCGACGAGGACATGCCGAAAGTCCAGGGTGCCTCAGATACCCGGATTCAGTTCCATTCACTCAGCGAGTTATTCATTTTTGCGCCCGATTTGAAGTTCATATTTGCAGACGAGTCGCGACTTTTTCCGCTTTTTTTCCCCCGGCATTTGTTGTGAACGCTTCGTTTCATAAATTGGTTCCATTTCCCATTCCATTAATGTGGAAAAAGCCTTTATGGTCGTCTACTCCATTTATTGGCGTCGTCGGCTGAGCCGCATAAATCTGCGAGTCGCCATTTTCTTATTTATTAAAATTAAAATATATATTTGGGCATTTTCTGTTATATTTCCTTCACTGACAGCGGTTTCTTCTACTGGCTTGCCTTTATTTGTTTGTCATTTTTTGAGTATTTTTGCAAATATCCATTAAGAAGCTTAAATGTACCAGGCACTTAGAGTAGATATTTTATTTGCCAATTTGCTTTATTTGCTGGGCAATACACGACTAAAAACTTAAGTTAATTTTTCCTAAAAAATACAAGTAAATGAATGAAAATGATGTTTTATTACTTTTAATCAAAGAATAACACATCATAAAAATCCTTTTTTCAGCATTAATCATTTTACTTAGCAATTACTAGTTTCCTCCGTCTAGTAACTCTTTTTACCTAATGACTTTTTTCATCTTTGTTTTATCGCTGCCTTTTTGCCAGTTAATCCACATGATCGGGACGTTATCCACTTCCATTTTCCTTCGAGGCTGAAAATGGTTAGCAAAAAATATCCTTTGGCTGGGCTGGACATAGTGTATTAAATTATAGCACACACCGAAGGTCATGAATTCCTATTTTCCCATTTTACGTATTGCTTTTCCTTCAGCCCCTCAACCCCCAAAAAGCAACAACAAATAAATGAAAATTGTCTAAAAGCAGAAAAATAAACTAAACTCGCAAATTCGCATTTTTGTCGAGCACGCAGCAGACCCCAAAAAGTCGGGAACTGGGGGAAGTTTAGCTCCAGCTCCAGCTACAGAATCCAGCTTACCAATTCCATTCCATCCTCGAGCTGAACCCAATATCAACACTGTGGGAAAAGGGCAACAAACAGGGCAAAGGGGCCGGGGGGCTGGGAAAAAAGCAAACGCAAAAAGTAGCGAAAAAATAAGAGAAATTGTATAAATTGAAGTCCTTTCGGACCATATATCACTTTACTTGACAGAGCAATTCCCTTATCTTTGAGAAATCCTGTCGACTGGAAAGTGCGCAAGGACGACGAGAGCAGGACCAGAAGCTGAGGCCAAAGCTAAAGCTGTAGCAGAACCAGGACGAAAACGAGCACGGAGCCAGGAGACAGGACCAATGCGGGCTGCACTTAGAAAAATTATTTATCAAAAAGATTTAAAAGACGTACAAATCATCATGCACCATCTAGTTCATTAAACACAATTAGGAATAATAATTTGCAATGTATTTATAATGTATGGCATTTTTTTGTTACGAGGTAAGTCTTATTTAAATTGCACTTACTGATTTATTTTATTATTTATTTATTTTCTTTATTGGTTACCACATTTTATTGTAACCAAACTATATACTTTTACCCAATTTACCAAAATTATTCGCAACTCGTAGATTACTTGATAATTCTAAAATTAACCGTTTAATAATCTCAAATAATAACGGACCATTTTACTAATATTATACCACCAACATAATAACCAGTGGACTAAAAATTCCTAATCTACCCATTTCAAGAATAAAATTTGAATGTGAAAAATTAAATTCAAGTTTATAAATTAATCTACATTTGTAAAGCAATTCGATCATAGTCTTTTTATGATCTACAACATCTGGAAAACCATTATGTGAGTGACCTTTTCGCTCAGTGTGGACATGCCGAAGCAGCTAAGCTCGAGTTTAGCCAAACCAACTATGCTCAATGCTGGAGTAGGGTGGAAGGGGGAGGGGCTGGGGAAATGGGAAGGGGGAAAGGGGGTTGGGGCTGGGCTGGCACTTTGGGGCGTGCTTTAGTCGGAGGCGTGGCATAGCTTAAGATGACAGCGCGCGCGGTTTATTTGAATTTCTTATTATGGTGGAGTATCCCAGCCCCAAAGCAAAGAGTCTGCAAAGGGATGCTAAAGGAGGCGGGGAAAGCAGCTTTTCTATTTTCTCGTTTTTTTTTCTTTGTAATTTTCCGGCTTTTCCTTTTAACTGGCGACGGAGAGGAATATCCCTTTGCCGGGCGGATTCAATTAGAGCACCTTTTTATGCAAATTTTCACGTTGAAAGTTCAATAATTGCCGATGTTCTACAAGCCAAATCAATGCAGGCAGGTAAGGCAACCCGCCATTAAGGACCCTCCTCCAGACGAACTCCCTCACACCTTGAGAAAACCCCCCTTTTCCCAGATCTCTGGCATAATGCAAAACGAAAGACAGCTCTTCGCATCTCGGGGTTGCTTTGGAATTAGTTTTCTAACCTGCGGGCGCGTAGCTGATAATTAAAAATGCAATTTTTTATATACATATATAAAAATCATAAAAAAAAAACAAACTGGGAGGGAAACGACGAACCCTCCAAGAAGCGGAAAAAGGCAATGGAAATGGGAAAAGAAACCGAAGACAATGACGGCTTCTTTTGCTTTGGCTTTCGCTTTGACGCATAAACCAAAACGCAAAATGTCGCCCCTGGGAATCCAGAGTTTTCCGGAGAGGTGGGTGGGGGGGGCAGCAACCCTTTGAAGGCACCACCGAGAACCAAAACCACGAGAACTAATCCTGGCCAACAAAACAACTTCATTTTGCATTATCCTGCCGCCCGACGCTATCTACCTTTGCCGGCCCAAAAATCTTAATGGCAATTTGAGCTGATTTTCAATGTTACAACTGGGAGTTAACCCCCTGCCAACTCTTTATCAAGCCATTATGTGAGCCAGTCAGTCGGACTGATTGAGCCATCGATAAGTCCAGAGTTTGGCCAAAAGCCGAGCCGAAATGGAGTGATCTGCCCGTTACCATTCGCCAGTTACC